TCAGATGATAGCCCTTCTCATTCTCTACAAAACTGTATATTTCAATCAACTATCTACATATGTATTCATGTAGATAACATCAATTTACAGAGAGGGGTCGAAACTTTCTGACCACCCTTTATTTCAAGGAAAGTTAGACTAAAATAAATTTGATCTTTTGTCGATTTGTCAAACAACTAGATATATTTTTTAACTATCTGAAGATAAATATTTTCAGTCTTACTCTTCAAACAAATTACTGTTGTTTGTTTTAATGAAATTCAAATATTTGATTTACTTTCTCCAACAAGACGAATATATGTTTTACAATTATGCAGTTGTAGTTAATTCAAATAAAGGGTAATTAATGAGGCATCCACGAAAAAATAAATTTATCCCGTTTTGCTTTTAGTACCTTCAAGTTATCCTTTAATCCTTTTATCCCATTAGTTACATTAGTTCCTTTAGTTCATTTGTTCCTTTTAGTTGCCTTGGTTCCTTTAGTTACTTGAGTCCTTTTAGTTCTTTTAATCCTTTTAGCACCCATTGGCAGCTTCACTTCAACGGTACTTGTACTCGCACCCGCACCTATATTCTAAAAGGTCTAAAGTGTAGCGAATATGGAAAGCTTACCAGTTTCTACAACATACAAATAAAACGAGATAAAATTATTTTTTCGTGGATCTATGGCTTGGTGGGTTGTCTTTCTGAGATTCAGCAGAAGATATATTGTTTTACTGTGACTGAACCAAATGGGTCTCCTGGACTCGTGTTGGCTTGACAAAAGTTGAATTGCTAGACATTGAATTATATCAATATAGTTTATTTTATTCAAATTTTAATTCTCTCTCTTCTGGTATATGCCATAAAAAATTCTCATACTCTGTTGAAACGCAAGTTAGCACATCCCCTATATGGTATATTTTCTTGGTTTTTCAAACAAAGACATGATAGTGCTAAAAGTCAGTATTGACTAACTTTTTGAAGGAAGGATATTAGAACCTAAAATTTTTGGGTTGGTGGTTTTAGACATTGATGCACTGAAGGAGCAACAAAACTCAACAAAAGAAAATTTTTACTAGTGCCACGTATACTGGCATGTTCCTCGGTCCTCTCACGAATCGTCTCTTAAATACTCGTATTGATTCTATTATTCATGAATCAGTGGAATTTCTTGATATTCTCATTCAAACTATTCAAGAACTACGAAAAACATCTGTCTTCCGTAAATCAGCAGTTGAGCCATGTCTCTTTCCATATACATTCGAAACGATTCATATAAGATTACTTCGTGCTATTAGCATTTATTTCGATATTCAAATATTTGATCCAGAGCGATTGAATATTGAAATAGCCTTACTATTGAACGGATATCCACCAAAATTTATAACATATCAATCTAAACAATCCTTTAGCAACAGTGATCCTTTATCTAAATACCAAGTATTAAATGTTGAAAAATATTCAAAAGTTACATGAAAAACTACTCAACCAATCAAACAAATATGATCGAGAACCAAATCGAGCAACAAAATAACAACAGCCTGATGGGAATAATGAAAATGTCTGTAACAAACGAAAAAAAGAAAAAACACTCATTATATATTCTCGATTCGAAACCGGTACATTGTTGATATTTACTCGTCAATATCAAAAATTATAGAAAAAAATACTTTTATCACGAAAACTGCCAATTGTTTAATGTTCAATTGTTATTTGCGACAAGAACTAGTCGGGATCCCTCAATCGGAATATTAATCAAAAAGAAGCCTTCTTGTGCTTTAATAACTTAAACGAAAATCATGAAAGAAAACCGACATGCAATGACAACCAAAAACTGCAATGCCTGCTCATCTAAAGAACCGAACCTATTCTTTTCCATTTTCTTCAAGATTTCAACCCGGAAAATCAAATATTCTGCTCCAATTTGTGAGCTATGCGTTTCCACTATACTTCATTTCTTTACCAGATCATACAATACGTCAGAAAACACACCTATCACTTACTAAAGATACGGATCAAGAGAAACTGAAATGAGCAATTATTTTCTTAAAAATTGCAACCATCAATACCATTGATAACATCAATAGTTTCTACCATCAGAAAACACTGATAACCTCTAACCTATACTACTTCACTAAAAAAAACAACATTATATACTGCAGTTGTGCTTCAACAAATTTTGAACCATACATTCTTTCCATGGACCCTTTTCTAGAGAGACACAATGGTTATCGTAGTAAGGCCAATTTCTATTCATTTGAATATTGTAAATATAAATCTTTGATATTTTATATGAAAATTTTCATTAAAATAGATATTAACATCTAAATTAATAATTCTACTGAAAATTTAATGTGCAAAGGTCAAATAGATTATTATATCTAAGTAATTCAAAATATTATTTGTATTATAATGAACTACTATTAAATAAATATATCATGAATCATCTGATGAAAACTGCGAAAGGTACAAGTCACCATTATCATGGTACGGCTAAATTCTACATATCCATTGCTAGCGTTTCACTAGCTAATTTGATATATATTTTCCCGAATCATTTACAACAGATGTAAACTCGAAACGGTCTTGCGAGATTCTTACGCAAGATTCAAACTAAAGTTTCATTCACTCTTCACTGAAGTTACGGTATATACTATAACAATGGGAAGTCTTTTGAGAATTTATCATGAAGGTTATAGATTATGCATCATAGTTTTGATCTTCCCAACCATTTGAACGCATGCTCACTCAACTCTGTATGATGAAGTCCTTATGCTGGGTTGAAACGCATCACATTTTGGTTGAAACATCCACCCTCAACCGTAGTCTTTATGCGTATAGAAAACCAACAGATAAATACAAAAAAACAAAGGTTACAGAAATATTAATAGCATTAAGTAGAAGTTAAAAACAGTGAGCAAAACAAAAAAAAAAAGGTCCAAAATAGGAGCTGCAACATTAACAAGTCTGTAAGAAAATTTTTAAATTGTCAGGGCCTTCGTTGGCGACTGCAAAATCCAGCTTGCCGTCATTATTAAAATCACCAACGGAAAGTGAGAACGGAAGAGATCCATAACTGGTCGAAAAGAACTCAACATCTGCGAATGATCCATTACCATATCCAAGCAACACGCCTACCTGGTTGGTTCCATAATTGGCGACGATAATGTCTGCTAATGTGTCATTGTTGAAATCTCCAACAGCAACTGAAATAGGCTCAGACTTATAACCAGTCGTAAACGTTGTTTGGTTTAAAAACGATCCATTACCGATTCCAAGAAGTACACCAACATTGTCATTACCATGATTAGCAACCACAATATCCAGTATGGTATCTTTATTGAAATCGCCGACTGCAATAGAGGTTGGAGTAGAGTCAGTTAAAAATATCGTTTGACTTGTGAAGAAATAATTTCCATATCCCAGAAAAACACCCACGTTGTGAGTACCAGAATTTGCGACCGCAATGTCTATTTCACTGTCATTGTTAAAATCTCCAATAGCGAATGATCTTGGTCGAGACCCATTGCCAGTTATGAGTGTCGTTTTTTTTTCAAAAATGTGATTGCTATATCCGAGAAGTACACTTGCCGTGTAATCTCGATTGTTAGCAACGACGATATCCAATCGTTTGTCGTTGTTAAAATCCCCAATAGCTACAGAGGTTGGATTAAAGCCTGTTGAATGCGTTCTTTGATGTGCAAAAGACCCATTGTCATATCCAAAAAGCACACTTACAGTGCTATCCAACACATTAGCAATGACAATATCCAATCGAGTATCGTTGTTAAAATCACCAATAGCCACAAAAACTGGTCTTGAGCCTGTTGAATACGTCGCTTGATACACAAAAGAGCCATTACCACATCCATGAAGGACACTAACAGTGTTGTCATTCGCATTAGTAACGACGATATCCGATCGAATATCATTGTTAAAGTCACCAACAGCTACAGAGATTGGATAAGATCCAGTTGAATATGTTCTTTGATGTTCATAAGAGCCATTTCCGTATCCGAGAAGTATACTAACAGTGTTGTCATCCCCATTAGTAACAACGATATCCAATCGAGTATCGTCGTTAAAATCACCAACAGCTACAAAGTTGGGCCTAGATCCTGTTGAGTGCTTCATTTGAGGTGCAAAAGAGCCGTTCCCGTGTCCGAGAAGGACACTTACAGTGCTGTCCCCCGTATTGGTGACGGCAATATCCATTCGGGTGTCCCCGTTAAAATCCCCAACAGCTACAGAGATTGGAAAAGATCCAGTTGAATATGTTCTTTGATGTTCAAAAGAGCCATTCCCGTATCCAAGAAGGACACTTACACTGTGATTCATATAATTAGCAGTGATGATATCCAATCGAGTGTCGTTGTTAAAATCACCAACAGCCACACCTTTTGGCAAAGAGCCAACTGAATAATTTGTTTGTTTTTCAAAAGAGCTGTTACCATATCCGAGAAGTACATTTACAGTGTTGTCATTCTCATTAGTAGCAATGATATCCAATCGAGTGTCGTTGTTAAAATCACCAACGGCTACAGAAATTGGACTAGAACCAATTGAATATTTCATTTGTTTTGCAAAAGACCCTACATCATATGCACCAAGTAGATCTACATTGTCAGTGTCATCATATGCAACAGCAATTTCTGAACGTCCATCATTGTTGAAATCACCAGCAACAACAACCAATGGAGTGAAATTGAAATTTACTCCGTAACTTACTGCAGTTTCAAATGTTCCGTTCCCGCTCCCCAGCAAAAACGCAACATCTTTAGTACCATAGTTCGCTACTGCGATATCCACTTGATCATCTTTATTAAAGTCACCAATAGTGACCGAGTAAGGATGAGAATTTAATCCCATTGAGAACTTTATTTGATTTCCAAAAGTACCATTCCCATGTCCAAAAACAACACCCAAGCTATTTGTACCATAATTAGCAACCACGATATCCAACAACGTATCGTTATTGAGATCGAAAACAGCAACACTTTGCAAACGAGAACCAATGTCAGATGCAAATGCAATTTCCTTTGCTAAAGCACCCCTGTCATAACGAAGCAGAACACTAACGTCGTTGTCCTGATAATTAGTGACAACAATATCCAAACGTGTGTCATTGTTAAAGTCACCAACAGCTACGGACAATGGCCAAGAGCCTGCCGGATACATCGTTGGATGTGCAAACGAGCCATTGCCATATCCGAGAAGAACACTTACAGTACTGTCCTCCCCATTAGTTATGACAAGATCCAATCGGGTGTCGTAGTTAAAATCACCAACAGCTATAGAGTATCGATGAGGGCCAGTTGAATATATTGTTTGATTTTTAAAAGAGCCGTTGCCATATCCGAGAAGAATACTTACAGTGCCATCCAACGCATTAATAACGACGATATCCAATCGGGTGTCGTTGTTAAAATCGCCAACAGTAACAGATATGGGATAACGGCCAGTTGAATATGTCGTTTGTTCTGCGAAGGAGCCATTGCCGTACCCGAGAAATATACTTATATTGCCACCCCACTCATTAGCAGTGACAATATCTAATCGGGTGTCGTTATTAAAATCACCAACGGCAACCGAGCCTGGACTAGAGTCAGTTGCATATGTGACTTGTTTTGTAAAAGAGCCATTGCCATAACCGAGAAGCACACTTATAGTGTTGTCCTCCGTATTGGTGACGACGATATCCATTCTGGAGTCATTATTAAAATCACCAACAGTTACAGAGGTTGGCGCATGACCAGTAAAATACGGCTTCTGATCTGCAAAGGAGCCATTGCCATACCCGAGAAGTAAACTTACAGTGTTGTCACCCGAATTAGCAATCACGATATCCAGTTGGGTGTCGTTATTAAAATCTCCCAAAGCTACAGAGTTTGGGCCAGTGCCAGTTGAATATTTCATTTGTTTTCCAAAAGAGCCATTGCGATACCCGAGAAGTAAACTTACAGTGTTGTCACCCAAATTAGTAGAAACGATATCTAATCGGTTGTCATTGTTAAAATCACCAACAGCAACAAAGATTGGCAAAGAACCAGTTGAATATGTCGATTGATTTTCAAAAGCAACCTCATTATAACCAAGCAAGATACCTATGCTGCTGGTGTCGTTGTTGATGACGATAACGTCTAAGTAATTGTCTGTGTTAAGGTCACCTACGGCAACACAGATTGTAGAAGAAGATCCAGTTGAATACGGTGTTAAACTTTCAAAAGAACCATTTTGAGATCCAAAAACGACAACTATATTGTTAGTGCCATTATTTGTGACGACCAAATCCGTTCTGTTGTCCTTGTTGAAGTCACCGACGCCAATCGAATATGGAGAAGCAGCTCCGAGTGAATATGTCATTTGTCTTATAAAAGTTCCATTACCGTGACCCAGAAGTACACCTACATTGTTAGTTCCATAGTTGGTGACAGCGATGTCAAACAAGGTATCGTCGTTTAAATGACCAATAGCAATTGAGTATGGATGAGAATCAGGACCAGTTGAAATCGTGATTTGATTTGCGAAAGTACCGTTCTCAGTTCCAAGCAGTATACCTACGGTGTTTGTACCATAATTGGCAATAGCAAGATCTATTTGTTCGTCATTGTTAAAATCACAACTGACAACCGCACATGGAAGAGAGTCATAGCCTGTAAAGTACGTGCTTGGTTTTGAGAAGCTTCCATTTCCATATCCATAAAATATCCCTACGTTGTGTGTGCCATAGTTAGCAGTGACAAGATCTAATGCTTCATCATTGTTCAGATCTGCTACATGAATCCAAACTGGACGAGATGAAGCAGTTGATAGAACTGTTAGGTTCTCAAAAGATCCATTTTGGAGTCCAAAAAGTACATCGATGCTGTTTGTACCAAAATTAGCGACGACGATATCCAGTCGACGATCGTTATTGAAATCACCAACAGCAATCATGTATGGTGCAGAGCCAGAACTGACTGAATACTTCACTGGACTTGCCACAGTGCCATTGCCATATCCAAAATATATAGCTATATTGCCAGCAGCATAATTGGCAACAGCAATATCTGGCCAAGTATCATCGTTGAAGTTACCGATGGCGACAGATCGGGGACCATATTTATATTCAATTGGATTCAAGCTTGCTGATTTGAAATTCATTATACATTTTGGGACTAAGCAACACAACAATAACAGAAATAAAGACTAATCAGCTGCTTTAGTCAAACTACTCCTACTGAATTTTACTGAACTTACATAAGCATAATAAGATTCTACTGGAAACGACCGAATGAATGCAGCCAAATATGAACCAATACCTATTATTTTCAATAGAACTTCGTTCAGTCTCGAAGAGTTCACTACTTAGATTACTCATCATATGCTTTCTTCCATTTACTAGAGAACTCGTTCGAAAAACACATAGTAACTATGAAAGAATAGATACCGAAACTAATAACCACTATCATCTATCTTACAGGGTATTTTATGATATGCCATTGGCCACAAATATACTGTAATAGAAAAAATTTCAAACTGTTTCGAAGTTGAAAGAATGTCAGTACCTTTGTGTTGCAACAATCCTTTCATTGCATCAGGAATATTTTGCATTGATTATTAACATTACGATCAGGATATGACAAGTTATCTATTTGTATTTGAGAATAGACAATGGATATTACAATGAAGGTGTATTAATAGTTTTCGTCTGACGAATTAAACGATTACTTTTTTTTGATCTTGTTTAATCAGACCTGTGATTTTCTATTGTGTAATCAAAGTGCACTTTTATAGTACGATTTTCCTGGGTTGCTCGTATACTGCAATATGGCAAATTTATTATCTTAAAAGAGACACACACGTTTTCGCTGAAAGCTTTAGGAAATTCTAATACGTATCAGACATATGGAAGCAAAAAAATCAGGTCGAAATATTTTCATTTAACTAGTTAGTGCATAATAGCCTACAAAGAAAATCACTATAACAGGTATGAATCAATAGAAAAAACGCTCACGCGAAAGAGCCTCACCAATTGGTACACTCTGTTTGGGCTCATAGAAAAAGAAAAGCTTCAAAAGTATTTGTCCCATAGATACATTTTTTTCAGAAAAAAAAATAATAACAAATTTCTTTGACAGGCAGATTATTGCCTTTTCTCTAATCGTTTTTTTTTTCAATAAATGAACATCTGCATGAGCTGATTTACTACAAAGTCATCCTACACATTGTTACTCATTGTATAAAAACAGAAGATTTTAAAATAGGATATAGGTATGAGTGTTGATAAGTAGATCAGAAGAAGAGAAATATTTACACTCCCACCTTCAAACCATACCCACGAAGATGATCGTGTGTAGATTCTAACGGTAAGAGATCTTCTAAATCTTCATCATCCAATACATCATGATCACCCAATCTGATCTCTATTTCAAATTGATGCGATGAACTCTTCAAGATGGAATTCAATCATTTACAGAGATTTCATATAATATGTTCTTCATTAGAGCAGTTTGCAGATAGTTAATTACAGTAAAATTCATTTGACGTCAAGTTTTATAATACTGTTAAGATGTTGTAAGAATTGCTATTTTTTATTGTGGAGACAAGTGAACGATGCTTAAATAGAAATTTACTAACTATTTGCTTAAATTGTTAAGGTAGTCGATCGCTCACCAGTTATTAGTAAGAAAGAAGTATGATCTTATCACATTTATAGAATCTGTTAATGTTTCAAATAGCAGAAAGGGAAAGAATTCACTAGAGAACACGAAAGAGCATAGAGATAATCGATACAGAAAGAAACAGAAAGAAAACAAATGCACCTCAACCTAATAGAAAAGATAACGCATGCGCATTCAGGCATGATAACAGAACGAAAGAATATACATTTAGAATACAGATGTGAAAATATCGCAATAATGATAGAGAGAAAGAAATGACGCAGAAATTATGACAAAACCTAGTATCCTTCTTAGTATATATATGTCCATTTATTACTTTTGCTTTCTCTTATCTTCAAACAACACATATCCAGAGCATGCAAACAAGATCTGTCTCGTAGAGAAGTATTTATTTCCATCACGTCTCACGGAAAAGTTCCTGATATTTTCCTTGTTGTTTCCCATCTCTATAAAGCTAAAAAACACACAGATGAGATAGAGAAAAAGAAATCTTGGATAAACTGCTGTTTCCCATCAGAGACATTAAAAAATACCACCAAAAATAATCGAAGCGGCGAGTCAAGGAGTCTCTCCTTCATCTATGAAGCAGCAAATGAGATAAAGTTCAGTCTTCTACAATAAGAAATAACACAGCTTA